GCTGAACCTATTGCCCAGATTGCAGAGCACAGAGACTTTTAACTGCCAGGTATTTCCACAGACTTACATTATAAAATTGTAAGCTGTACGTCAAAGGTAGCAAGTAACATACAGTTCATAGTGCTAGAGCTTGTAGCTCTCCTAGAAAAGCCAGCAACACAATGTATTAAGAGTTCGCAATTGAAGAACAGATCAAAATAAATGTTTGTGGTTCTTCTTTAACAATTCTTTATGAAATACCCCATTTTAAGCCTCTTACACAGGTATTTTAGAAAGGAACACAAAGGAACAATTTTTAAGTTAGAACTTTGTCAGGATAGACAATGGACAAATACCTGTAGCTCACAACTGTTGACTCATAAATTAATATTGCTCCTTGGAAACAGATAATCAAGTTACAAGAAAAAGCTCTAACCCCACAGACTCCTACCCAACAATTAACTTGACAATCAGAGCGCGTTTAATGAGAATACATTTTGTCAGAAGCATGGAATTTTGGATGACTAAAGTTTTCCTATCATAATCTGCAGGAATCTAATCAGGAAAGCATTTGCAATAGAAGTTTTAACAGTTAATGTGCTTACTAGACACTGTGTTTAAAACACAAACTGAAGTGACTGTGCCCACAGCAGTGGTTGTTCCAGAATTATTGATTCAAAGACCGGTCATTTTTAATACCTTCAAAGTCCTGTAGAATGTGACCTTCTTTAAAAGGCAGGGTTTGCTTTTGCTGCTGGTCCAGCATGCTGTGCACTGTAATGAACTCATCATCAAGAGCAACCACATAAGGAAAGCACAAAGCTGCTCCAATCACGTTCTCCGACCAGTGCACAGGGGCACGCTGTGAAATGCCATCTACAGTTGCAAACATGCCTAGAAAAAGGGAAAAACAAAGCCTGAAGATAGTGCTAGTTGAAGTCTGTTGCTTTCCCAATATTGAAGCATGGGTACTGAGTAACAGAAATAAAGTCTCAGAAGAACAAATGCAGTGGCAGGTGGCACGATGACAGCACATCACACCTTCCTGGACCGTACAGACCTGTTGGTTAGTTTAGTTCAATTTCCACCCCCTTCTCCTTTACCACAGAAACAGACAACACCCAGACCTGAAGAGAGGATTACTGAAAGAAACTAGCAAGAATTATTCAAGTTTAGGAAGTTTCAGAATTTTTTAATAAGAATTATGCCATGTAGTTAGAACTCATTTCAAAACACTAATATTTAGTGAGACCCACCATTCAAACAATACTGCCTCAGTGAGAGCTACAGACCTGCACTGCCTGACCTATCTGGCAATACAGGCATATTTGCTCCTTGTAGAGTCGAATACCTAAAGAGCGTTTCAGCTGACAGCCAACCATTTACTTGTCACTTCTGAGTCACTTCCTGTGAGGCATCTGTGTTTTCAATCATTTGAAAAGCATACAGAGGCTGTGTATAAAGGTTATTTTCCCAAAAGCCAAGCACAGAGTAAAGACTTTATTAATATGCTAACGATACCTCCTATGCGGCCTTCAAAATAACCATACTGAATCTTCAGTTAATCGGCGTTTTTTCTTTGTCACTATCTTTCTTCCTGTCTATTCTGTCCTCCTTCCTTCTCCTAGTTTAACAGGAGCTTGACTTGCTTTTGGACGATGTGCCACTGGTTCTATTCGCCAGTTCTTCCCAAGACATCAATTGAAATAAAACTCCAGTCAAAGTTTTTGGGCCTAGTTCAGTAACCCTTTGCCAGCTGAGCCATACTGAAGCATGCTGTAAACGTCTGTTCTAAACATGAACACATACCCCTTAAAATCAGTATTCTTATGCCACTAAAAAGACATGCCATGAAAATTGGGTTTTGGCAGGAATAAGCCACTTGACAGCTGGTAGAGTAAGTCTGAGCTCTAAAGGACAGAGGAGATTAAAAGATTATGTTATTGAATTTGCAAAATCTCTTCCAAACAGAGGATAATGAGGCATGGGTAGCTGGCTAGGAGAACCATCTTGGAATTAAAAACAACAAAAAAAGAAAAAAAGAAAACAGAAGGTTGTAGATTTTTACTGAACTACAGTACAGAGACTAAGCTTCTGGATCCTTTATAGCAGCGTTGAAACCACCAGCCCTTTGCCTTGACTAAGGGTGCAACACAAAACCAGAATTTCACATCTGACTATTAGCAAGTAATGCTATTTGCTTTCTCACTATAATGATCAGCTTTTCACTCAGAGCACCTTACAGAAAATTTGTTTGGGTTTTTTTTGCCATAATATATAATTCCCAATTTACTCTATAGATCTTGATATTCTTATGGATCAGAAATGGAATTTTATGCCAGGCAGACTTCACTGTCTGTTTTTAATGCTCTCTGGTTGTCACTCTGTGCTATAATCCTGTTTCAAAAAGTTGAAGAAGATTTGAGTTAAACACATACTAACTACACAGTAGTAAACTCAAGGCTAATTATATTTGAAATATGAATTCTTAGAAGTTTCCATTTCTCTGACATTTTCAAAAAAATTATAAACCCCTGATTTTAACACCCCCCCGCCTTTTTTTTTTTTTTTTAATGACAGAGGGATTTTTTTAGGTAATATGAAAAAATCCTTTATAGAAGTGAGCAGAGCAATGCACAGTACTTTTCCAAGTCAATGTCCCTCTGCATTCCTCTGCCCTCAATAGCTACTGCTTCTGTGGCAGAATGATGCATTTTCTCTCTTCATCCAGCTCTCACCCAAGGATAACAATACACTTGACAAATACAGTCAGAAACAATGGCCTTTTTACAGTACAGGAATGCATTTGATGAAACAGATCAAGCCAGCAATCGTTTCTGTATTAAAAATGCATATGCTATCTAAAGGTTACAAGAGTTATCCAAAACATAGCTACACTATTTTCAGCATCAAGATATCTAGAAATTTATAGAACCATAGAATATTTCTATGAAGTCAGAAGGGGTTTCTGAAGGACATTCAGTCAAGTCCTGTCCCTCCCTTAAGGCAGGGCCAACTTAGGTCAGGTTACTCTGGACTTTGTGCAATAGACTATAGATTTTATTTATTTGTTTATTTTAAACCAGAAAGATTCTTGTTGAAAATATCTTTAAAAAATGAAATAACACATCTTTATTATTACTTGTTAAAAAGGGAATACGAAAGCTTTCAATTATTGTAAGAGTTGCCAGCATAAGAACACTACGAGTGGCTGAAAACAAGAAGGGAACATGCTGCTTATTGTTGACAACCCTATTGTTGCTTTATGCAGTGTCATCAGCTATGAGAAAGGCACTGCATAACCTTCTATGAATCACTCTTAGCATTTGTGTGCTTTTTCTAAGTTATAAGGCTCAGTTCTCCAACTCCATTTGTAGTCTACTCAATCACTATACAACTGCTCAAACCACGCACCACTGAGTTTACTCTGGAAAAGCAAAAGGAATAAACTAAAATTAGGTATTTAAAATTTCATTTTTTACTTATTAAAGTCAAGGAATAGTTGAAGCAGGAAGGGACCTGTGGAAACTGCCTAGTTCAGCTTCCCTAAAAGCAGGGTTAACTAGGACTGGTTGCTGAAGAACTTGCCCAGTCAGCTTTTGAGTATCTCTAAGAACAGAGGCTGCACATTCTCTCCGAGACCCATTTCCTGGTTTGACCACCATCACAATGAGAAATTTGTTTTCGTGTGTTTATGTAGAATTTCCTGTATTTCAATTTGTACAGACTGCCTTGCATCCTTTCACTGGATGCGATACCACAATACCACTGAGCAGAGTCTAGCTCTGTCTTCTTTACTTGCACTCCTCCCCACCCCCACCCCGATCCTTTCTTTTGGTCATTTAAGACAGGAGTGAATACATTCGTTTTCTTCCAATCCTAAGGAATGATCCCTCATCACCATGAGCTTCAAAGATAGAGTGGCCTCACTGTGACAGTGACCACAAACCATAGGCATTCATGGGTGCATCCCATCAGGTCCCATGGATTTGTCTGTCCAGTTTATTTAAATGTTCCATAACTCAAACCTTCTCTACTGAGGGCAGGTTTTTGTTGCTTCAGGTTTTCTCACTGGTCCTAGGGGCTGAGGATTCCCCAGGGAAGGCCACACCAGTAATCACTGAGGTAAAGATGGCACTAAGCATCTTGGACTTTTCCATATCCTTTGACACCAGGTCTCCCACCCTATTCAGCAGCAGGCATCATTAGTGTTCCTTTGCTGCTGCTATGCTTTATGTTGCACTTCAAGGTGCTGAAAGACAATGCCAGATGGACTTTGGTCTCCCTAACACCATCCTCATACACTTGGACAGTGTCTATATTGCTCCTAGACCATCTGGCATTACTTTCACTTGCTTCTTCTGTTATATTTGGATTTGTCCAAGAGCTGCTTGTTCATTAATGCAGACTTCCTGCCACTTTTGCTTGTTTTCCTGCTTATTGGGACGGACCATTTTTGAACTTGGAGGAGGTAGTCCTTCTCTCCAGGACCATATCCCATGGAATTCTTTAAACAGGTCCCTGAACAAACCAAAGTCTGCTTTCCTGAAGTCCAGGCTTGTGGTCTTTTTCCCTTTTCTCCAGATCCTGAATTTCACCATCTCATGGATACTACAGCAAGGCTGCTCCCCTGACCTTCACATTCCTAGGTAGGTTCAACAGAGCACATCCCCTCATCAGCTGCTCAGTCACCATCAGAGTACTCCAGAAATCTCCCAGACTGCTTATGGCCTGCTGTGCTGTCCCTTTATCAGGTACTGGAACAGCTCAAGTGCCCCCTAAGAACTAGGGCCTACAAATGTGTGTTTCTTCCAAGAGGCCTTATCTACATCTTCTTCCTGATAAAGTGGTCTGTAGCAGACACTCACCACAATGTCACCCATGTTAGTCTGCCCTCTAGCCCTAACGCATAAACTCTCAGCTGCCTCCTCCTTTGACCCAGTGCACACCACCACACCTTTGTGCTGCTGTCATGTAAACGGTATCCCCTCACCTCTGCTGTTAATATACGGATGTGATGATTTCCCAGAAAACACGAGAAAGCTTTCATCATCATGATGTTTTGTACAGACTTAGTATGCATATGACTGAAGTATGGCCTCTTCAGGCCTTATTCCTGATTACAAAGTCTCTCATCCACATCACCCTGATCTCTGCCAAACTGTTTCCTAGTTTAAATCCTTCTCACCAGGTTGATCAGCCTGTTGGCAAAAATGCTTTTGCCTCACTTGGTCTGGTAGATCCCATCTCTTCCTTACATCTACAGCCATAAATGCTAAATCCCTCATCATCACAAACTCTGCAATCATCCAATGACCTGCACAGTCCACCCACCCCTCCTCAAGCTGTTGTTCTTCTCCAGCAGGCCTGATGAGAAAACCTCATCTCCATTGTCAGGGAGTCTCCACCTACTATTACTTGCTAATTCCTCCTGGTGCTACTGCATTGTTACAGGCTCAAAGGATTTGTTGGACAGAGCTTCCTGCTTCCCATCTGCTTCTGTGAGCACTGAACATATTTTATAGATCCAGATCTGCAGGCAGAAAAGGAGAGTTCTTTCCTTTACAGGAATTCACAAGTTTCTAACCTTTGCCACCATGGAATATGCAGAAACTCAAGCCTGCCCTTCCCTCAGTACAGTTGGGGGTTCAGGCTCATGCCTGGGTTCTGGAGAAGATTACGTTTCCTTTTTGTCATCTCTGATGCAGGAGGAGGTCAGCAGAGTACATGGCATCTCTTTTACTTGGCAACAGAAATCCTTAACCAAGCACTCATCTCCTGCAGGCAAGGACAAAATTTCCTGTGTCAGAGTCTCAGCAAGAGGCTGCCTTCAACTCAAGATCTGAAAAGCTGCACCCTCCTGTGGAAGCTCGGTCTGAGCTGAGGCCTCTGACATTTTGGGGCAGTTGCTCCAGCTGGTGCTAGGAAGTGTGCCCTGTACCAACATGCAAGAACTGTTTGAAATTTCAGAACTGCTCACCTGCTGAGATTCTAAAAACTTAAAGCCTCCATATGGCAAGAAATCTGATCACAAACATGCAACAAGAGCTTCATGAAACGAAAGACTAACTGCAAGTCGAGCCAACCAAGTACCAAATGGTTAAGTCTATGGATCAGCTATGAACAATTCTAACCATCAGTTTTAAATGCAGTCCAGGTAAGGAAAAAGGTTACATACCCAAGAAACTCAAAGATGTTTTACTTTATGATTACCATTTTAAAGCAGTTGCTTTCTGCATTCTAAATTCCAGTCTTAACTCCAAAGCAAATCAATGTAAATAAATGCTACTTCAAACACTATAAAGCCAAATATATTAATGCAGAATACATCCACCTCAGTAAAAGAAGCTGAATTTAGCACAGGTGCTCTACAAACTGCCAAACAAACATGCCTTAAGCAACAAGACATACAAAAGCAAACCAAAATTAGAATCAAAGATTTACATCAACCCTTTTAAAGCAAATTCACTTTACAGCAGAGGCCAATGATAAGCAAATGCCAAGATACACAATGCTTATATACTGCAAAGATGCTCAATCATCTTCACAACTTCAAAGAGGGAAGTGTTAAAGACACTAAGAATTTTACTGAGGAAAAACAGAAAGATGAGGAGGGAATAAAGAACAGCTGATTTCAAAACCCCACAAACTCACTAGCTAAATTAGGCAAGGAAAAAAAAAAATACAATCCATAACAAGCAGTCTTCATGAGGTTTCTGAGCTGGGCCAAGGTAGATTTTTGCCTGTATTATTAGGAAAGAGGAAGTTTATAGCATGTTCAGAGCTGCAGAAGTGCATTTGTTTAAGATATCACACACCTGATATTCTAACCCCAGGACAATCTACTTAACAGGACGCTGGATTTTGAGACTAAAGGTCTTACTGTATAGCTCTCTTCCAGGACATCAGATAAAAGCAAAAGTCAAAATAAAATCCTGCTTTCTGACTAAACACATTTATACTTATTCTTCTTAAATCAAAAAGGAAATTAACCACTTGACTAGAATCTGGCATGACATTCCTAAAAAGGTAAGATGGCAGTAGGAATGGGATTTCCTTAGAAACATGTCAAAAGAGAGTACTTTCAGACAGTCATTTCAGAGATTTTAACTTTCATTGCACTACCAAAATGGTTAATGTCCACAAATACATGTCCACATTTAAAGCAACTAACAGTTTTAGTAAGAGGGCAGCCCAGATGACTTAGAAAAGCCCCACATCTGAAAAAAAACCCTCAAGTTAATCTTGGAATATCTTTAATTTGCATAAACTGATGTTCTAACAAGTCTCTGCTTCTTTTGAGAAAAAACACTAGTGAGTTGATGTACATTCAGGTCACAAGTCAAAATTTCAACATAAACGAGTGACTGCACTCTTACTTTTCTTTGGAATTTATATCAAAAAGCCTAAACCCATGCAGATCCCTGAATTAAGGGCCTTAATAGTTTTGATCTGTGTGTCACATACTATTCCTAATGTATCAGGGAAGATACATAAACTGCATCTCCAACATGGAGAGTCATATGGCAAACAGCATGAAAGCATTCTGCCTGTGGTCTGTCAGCTTTGGGGTATGACAGCTTTTCCCAAAAAAAGCTCAAGAGTACTGACCTCACAGCATATTGTTTATTTAGACAGATCACAGCAGCAGTAGTCCTTACAATCATCTGTCTATTAGAGAAGAGCATTATTCTGCATTTTGCAATATTAAACTATCACTTTCTGTAATACACAGCTGACAAGTACTATAAAAAAATTAAGCAGATGGGAGCATAAGAACCGGGCAGTATCTGCCAACATCTACAGTTAGGACAGAGTTAGTTCTACAGGAGTTAGGATACAGTTTACTTCCACTGACATTTCTACTAGCACTGTAGCATAACACCTATTTGTGAATCTGTTACAATCTATAAAATGGACTCCATATGAACTCCTCTGAATAGCAGCTGAGGAAAAAAATAATTCATCTAAACTAATTCAACAGCTTTATAGCAACACGGGGCTCCTCAAACCCAGCGTAGCTAGTCATCACAGAAAGGCTCTGAAGTGTGACTTAGTACCAATTTTTTTACATTGGCATGCAAGATACTACCACTGTTAGTTGTCTACGCAGAAATGAAGCTTTCTACAGACACGATTAAAATACAAATAACCAGATTTTTGTGACTTAAAAAAGCAGAAGAGTTATAATACTACTTAGTACCCAAGATTTACCATCTACCTACTGATTTTAATGTTCCAGTACAGACCTGTGAAAAAAAAAAAATCATCATTATTGTGCACAACACAGTTAAACTTTGCTTTGCAAATTGAGAGAAACTAAGAGAGAAAAGTTAAAGAAATTAAAAAAAAAGTGACAATCCTTAGTCTCACCTAGGCCTCCAGGGCCAGCCAACAGAAACTCTTGTCTGCCTATCCTTTTCACAATTGGCCGTTTCTCATCACTGCAGTAAGGAAATAGATCCTGGGAGACTCCAGTATTATAATTCAAAATGATATACTGCGTAGTAAGCGCAAGACACAAGTAATAACCATCTACAGCCACAGCACAGGGTTGCTCTGGAGTAAACACTTCCTTCACTATCTGGACTCTGTCTTCAAACACCATGAACATTTGGATGGTCCGTCGCTTGACCGAGATAATGCAGACTTCGACACAGAAAGGATCCCCACTCACGGGGTTTTCATTTAATGTGAATGTCACGGCTCCTTTGATTCGAGCGCCAGTGGGGACAGGTTCCAGGTTCATCATGTTAACTAGTGTTATTGTGTTGTCGCAAAGCACAAGAAGCCTGGTGAGGGCAGAGGCTGCTTTCAGCTCACTCACAGGCTTCTTCAAGCCCAGGTATTTATGTAGTTGCTTGGTGGCAGCAAAAGTTATTTTTCCAGCTGATGATATCTTTTCGTCCAATAGAAAGTGATAGATAAAGCAGTCATTGGTTCCAATGTAGAGGTTCTTTCCACAACACTCAATGCATTCGATGTTGATGTAATTTTTGTCTCCCATTAACATCTCCCGCTCAACAGCAGAAACGAGCTTGAAAGCTTTAACACTCATCGTGTCTTCTGGGTGATCTGATTAAAGAGAAAAAACCCACTATTTATCTCCACGCACATCAAATATCAGAGGCAGCAATTTAAACACTCACCAATACAAAAATTTCATTGTTGCAGTTCTTAATAGTCTATACTCTATTCCAACCTGATTACACAAGCCAGAATGAGCACATTAACAACCACAGAAATTAACTGAATTGTAATGTTCCACTTCAAGTTTATGCTGAGACAGATTCCCAACAGCACCCAGCTATTCTGAAGAGGTGCTTTCTCCACATGTAACCAGGATATTATTGGCTCTCTTTGACACTTTAGCACTACAAGTGGTTCCTGGCCACACTTGAATGATTTATAAACCTGTCATACACAGGTTTCTATCACTTATACATGAAAATATACAAGCTTCAGCTCTCAGATATCTAGAGAAGCCACAAGATATTCAGTGCTACTAGTTAACATCTCATGCTAGGCCTCAATTTAGGCCTATTAGTACCTAGTCTCTTAGCAAATATATCATAGGCATACTCCATTTCAGCACATATAGTTTACATTCCTTACTCTCCAACAATCAGAAACATGTAACTTCCAAGCCACTTAAATAGTACTTGACCTTGTTGGTTTGTGTTTGTTTTTTTTTTTTAATAATAGCTGCAAAGTGTCTGCCACATATATTCTCTGTATCAGACTTTATAAATGTGAATGTGCTTTATAATCAGCAATTATAAAGCACATTCACACAGCAAATTTGGAAGCATGGTCCATAAAGCATTCCTTAAGCTCGAGATTCAATATCACAGAAATTAAAAGAGCTGTTCTGTTCTCTACTATCACAACCATGCCAGAAGTCTGTCTAAGTGCTAAGCAGCACTTCTAATATTCATTCTACAAACTATACCCACTCTTTTGCAATCAAGCCCTGTCAAGGGACAGATGCAATTTATGAAGCAATTAATAGTGTTTTAAAAACAGCCAGTGTAATTTTACTGTACTCCAGACTTGTGTTATTTTAATAAGAAATCAGCAGACAGCTGTGCTCAACACTCCAAAGAAGAGCAGATGAGAAATTGCTGGCCTTGTTTAATCACCTTGTAATTTGTCATGACTGGTCTGTAACAACCACTTATCCAACCCTGGGGAAAACACAATACTAAACATCTTGAATGGATTTAAGAAATAACAATCAATTACTTCTAGTCCACAAGTAACATGGAGATGTAAAACATCAAGTGAAACTTCCGTGGACCAACAGACATACACATCAACAAAATGCTCTTGTGAACAATCCTGAAACTAAATACAGTTAAAATTAATTTAGTTTCAAATTACTACATCTAAAAACTCCCTCTGCCTTTGCAAAACAACACTGGAAATGAAGGCAGAAATTTCCAGGACTAAGTGAGAAAAGGTAAGGTACACAACTCACAAGAAATCACCAAATAAGATTAAATCATACTAAGAACACAGGCAGAAGCAAACCATGTTATCAAGAGACAGTAGCAGTCTTTTATACCAAGAACCTCCTATTTTATTTTTCAGAAATTAAAAAGATTTTATTTCAGGTTTCCACGACATTTTCAAACTGCATCCTCACCTGGGGTGTAAATTAGTGTTCTGACCTTCAACAGAAAAAAACCCTAACCCACGAAGTACTAGAGAAATAGCCTAAGGTAAATCGGTAATGCAAGCCCCTGGGAACACAGCCCTGTTATCCTCCAACATTATCAAAAGAAACAGTGTATTAAGCTAAAGAGGGCTGCCAAAAGGTTGACTGCCAAAAAAACCCCAACCATTTCTAAGAGCTTGTCTGTAGCCTGAAGTGATAAACTATCGTCTAGAGAGGTTAAGCAGCTTTCATACCTGAAGCCGTCAACGACTTAACGTTCCTGTAGCCCAAGGTAAAAATGTTAATGTATGCCATTGGGAGAACTACAGAATTCTGCTCTTGACCAAAATGCATTAAAAACCTCCCAAAAACGTATTAAAGAAAGATGAAAAGTAAGAGTATAAAAGAGATCAAAATAGACATGCAATTCCTGAGCAGAAAGAACAAAAAATAACATAGTACTACATAAGTCTGGTAGCAAAGAAATTAGAACATTCATGCTAGAAAAAAGCTGTGAGAAAAAGCTTTTAAGAATCACCAATGTCAATACACATACTCTCTACGTGATTTCTTTTTAAATTGATTTTGTTGTCATTTATAAGAGCTCAGGGCCTGCACGCATGTAAAGAAACAGGTTCTGCAGAACTTGCTGTCCCCTGAAAGTGCAAGAGGCCACCCCCTAGTTACAAATGGAAGTCAGCGTGCTACTTTAGAGCTTCAAAAACCAAGATAATGGGGGTGCTTGCTATCAAAAACTAATCAACAGTACCAGTAACCCCGCATGCACTCGTTTCGGACGAACAGCAGAAAGCAACTCTCGCCCACTTTCAACAGGAAAGATCTTGCTTTGCAATCACGTTCTGTTTGCTGCTGCCCTGCAAACCAGCACCCTCCCTCCCTTAACTCTGGATCGCTCCCTTACGTACACGTACTCCTACACGCTATGTAGTTACCAAGCGCTAATTAACCCCTGGACATGCCTCCGCAGACCCGAGATGCTGGGCCGCCTCAACGCCAGGGTGGGCCACGCTACCCCCGGGCGGACGCGGCTGCGCTTCACCCCGGTCCCCTCACACACTCGCAGCCCGCTCTGGGGG